CCACCCAGGCATCCCTCCTCTGCCATCACTAAAGGCTACTGATGAAGTGTGGCCTGCTGCTGGCAAGCCCAGATGATCTGCAAAGATCTTAGTGAATGGTTAGGGGTTTACCAGCCCCTGAAAACCCCCTGCCACTGCCACCTTACAGGGTGGGCAACAAGCAGACACGATCTTGGCGCTTCACAACTCCTGTCAACTGTCTCCTTTCCCAGTTGACAGCGGGAGCAACTGAGGCCCAGAGAGGGAAGGGATTTAGCCAATGTCACCCAGCACCTCCAGGCAGACCTCCCGAATCAGAATTGAGTCTGTGATTCTGGGTCTCAGCCTTTCCCCGCCCCCCTGCTCATATTAATTATTTTTTAAAATAGCTTTATTTTTATTTTTTTAATATTTTATTTATTCATTCATGATAGACAGAGAGGGAGAGAGAGGCAGAGACACAGGCAGAGGGAGAAGCAGGCTCCATGTCAGGAGCCCGATGCGGGATTTGATCCCGGGACTCCAGGATTGCACCCTGGGCCAAAGGCAGGCACTAAACCGCTGAGCCACCCAGGGATCCCCTAAAAATAGCTTTATTAAGATACAGTTCACATATCTTGCAATTCGCTTTTTTAAAAGTATACAGTTCAACGGATTCGAGTACAGAGCTGGGCATCTGCTGCCACAATTGATTTTACAACATTTAACCACTTCAGAAAGAAACCCTGTTCCCTTTAGGTGTCAGTCCCCTTCCTCTCCCCCAGCCTCTGTGATCCCTCTATCCCCGATAGACTGGAAACATGCATCTATTTTCCGTCTCCATATGTTTGCCTTTTCTGCACATTTTGCATACGATACGTGGTCTTTTGTGACCGGCTTCTTGCACTAAGCATACTGTTCTCCAGTTTCATCCACGGTGTACCATGTATCAGTACCTGGTTCCTTTCTATGGCTAATAGTCCCTTGTACAGGTGTGCCACGTTTTATTCATCCAGTGATGAGTTGATGGACACTTGGGTTGTTTCCACCTTTTGGCTATTGTGGATGCTGCTGCTATGAACGTTCGTGTACAGCTTTTTGTGTGGACACACGTTCAGTTCTCTTGGGTGTATAACTAGGAGTAGAATTGCTGAGTCCTCTGCAGCTCTGCGTTTATGAGCCCGGGCTCCTGGCTCAGACCTTGGGGGTGCTGACGGGAGTCGGGAGGCTTGCCATTCCCAGCACCCAGGGCCCGGGGACACAGTCCTCCCTTTCACTTTTCAGGGTCTTCTGCAGGATGCATGGGAGAGTCAACTGGATCCTAATTCCCATTCTCTGCCATCAACCTGCTAGATTCCTGGGTAAGCTGTTTCACATTTCTGAAGAAATGAATCTTCCCTGAGTCTTCCCATCTGGGAAATAGGGTGGTAATCTCTATGGTCCATTCTGAGGATTAGCTGAGATCATAAAATTACAGTTTGTGTCCGCCCATTCATTACATGCATTGGTGGCTGATGTACGATTGTTCACAGCAGGGGCGATAACACAAAATCCTTGCCCTTAGGGTCCTGTATTTACACAGGAAACATCTTGCTTAAGCCTCACAGTGGCCCTGGGAGGTATGCCCTCCCGGTATCTTATCTCCTGGAAGAAGAAAAAGAGAGAACTCTGGAAGCCAAGTCTTTTTTCTCCATCCACCTTTGGACTTAATTTTAGAACCTTGGAGTATTATATATTTTGAACTTTTATTGAAGCCCTACATGCAAAAAGAACACCATTGTGTGTGTGTAGTGGAACGTACCTGGTACTGAGCGCCCAGATGAAGAAAATCGAAACCCATCCCCATCCCCCCAAGCTCCTGAGCCCCCCAGCCCCGTCTCCCCCGCCAAGGAGAACACAGATGAGTTCTGGCCATTTGTGAACTTCGTATGAGTGCAGTTATGTAGTTCACAGCCTTTTGTGTTTGCTTCTTTTGCTCAACTTCAGGTCTGGGGGATTCATTGTATCATCGTGTGTCATCACAGAGCCCTTGTACTCAAGGCCCTGCATATCATCATAGTTGTCACAACTTCTGCTTTTAATGGGTCTCTTTGGGCTTTTCTTATTGAACGAGAACCCCAGGTTTCACACTCTGGCGGGCGTGTGTGTCTGTGCATCTGCCCAGGCCTGCGGGGAGGGAAGTGGGGAGGCCGGGAGAGGGTATGTGCTGACCCAGTCCTGGCTCTGGGATACATGTGTTTCTAGGAGGCCGCCGCCTGGCCCCCCTCCTGAGGCCCCTCCCATTTGGACTCTGTCAACATTCTGTTATTCCAGGCTTCGCGTGAAGCTGAAGGGTGAGCTGGCAGGCATCCTAGGTAAGCAAGAGCAGCGGGAGAGGAGAGGGACTTTTAGGGGTGGGAGGATGGGCCCAATTAGATCCCCACTGAGGGCTGTCAGGGCTTGTGTGGAGGGAAGACTTTGCCCCATGCGCCCTGGAACACCGTGGGAAGGGAGGGTCCGAGGGCCAAGCAGGCCTCCTCTGGGCCAGGCTGTGTGCTGGGGCTGCCTAGGTTCAAATCCCAGCTCTGTGACTATAAAATCCATAAAATGGGGCCAACAACCTGGTGGGATTGTCCGAGGAGGAAAGAGCTCGACACACGTGAAAGTTCCCGACCCCAGAGTAAAGTTGGCTCTTATGATTATGGTGCCAGCTAGGTTATGTGCGTCATCTTACTGAACCTGCGTACCGGTCGTGGAAGTAGACGCCATACCATCCCCATTCAACAGATAAGAAAGTGGAGGTACGGAGAGGCTGAGAACCTGCCTGAAGCCACAATGTAAAACTATGGCAGAGCCAAGCTTTGATCCTGGGTCTGTTTGACTCCAGCGCCCAGGCCTCTGCCCCCAGGGCTGTGAGCTGCCATGGAGCAGTGCACAGCACTGTACTCTAGGGACCCAGATCAGCCCTCCCCTGGTTCAGGGAGGAGGACCTCAGGCTCATTTTCTTTGTCCATAAAATGGGCCTATATGAGCAGCAGGGCCTTTCTCCTTCCTGGGTTCCTGGCTAGTGGGCTCCCAGGGGTGGGACAGGCAAGGAGGTTGGCCAGGAGAGCCCTTTGAATCTGCTCAGCATTGGCAGACTTTGCTGAGGCAGCCTTGCCCTTGCTTTTTCGGAGGGAGGCAGCCAGGCCCCAAGGCAGAGGCAGTATCCTGAGTCCACTTGGTGGCCCCCCCCTTGCAGGAGGTGCCCTGACTGCTCTTGAGGTGCTCCAGAGCAGGGGCCAGGCAACCAACAGGTGTTCCTAATCCAGGCTGCTGAGTAGAGCAAAAGCTACCTGTGATACTCCCAGGAGAACCAGAGGTGGAAGCCACTGGCTGCCATCCGGGAAGGCTTCACAGAGGAGACCCTCCTTGGAGCAGGGTTTTGAAGGCTGTTTAAGAGTCCCTTAGGTAGAGATGACGGTAAAGTTGTTTTTACAGAGGGAGCAGCAATAAGCATCAGCTACTCAACTCCATCCCCACCCCGCGCCCTCGTTTAGCCACCTGTTTTTCAGGGGGCTGGAAGCCCGGAAACTGTATTTTCTAGAGCCCCTTGCCAACTAGTTTCCGGTTAGGCTCTGCCAGTGGGGTGAAGGCAGGAGGATAAGAGACGCCAGTGCACCTCTAGCTCCTGCCTTGGCCAGGTTGACTTCAGCAGACTTCACAGATTGCAGCAGCTCTGTTGGTTCCAGGGGGTAGGCGGTGAGTGCGGGCTTGGCTGGGGGCTCCTGACTACTCTGGACGACAGCCGCCTTGTAACATTCCATCTCTCTTCTTCTCTTCGTGCACTTGGGATGCCTTTGGAACCCATTTCTCTTATCCTCTTATCCTGAAATAGCCCAGTGGTTGCTGTTTTCCAGCTGGTCACTAATTGATAAAATGTACAGGCCATGTAGGCCAGAACAAGCTGTAGTTTTCAAGTGCCGGAAGGATTCAGTACCCAGAAAATGTGATGTCATGTTTTCGTTTTGATTTATTTTTCAGATGCATGTCATGTGTTTCAACAAGAGTTCCCCGAGGGCAGAGACTGTCCTCTATCATTTTTTCACTCAACAAACACTTATTAGTGGCTGGTCAGTGGGGACTGAGATGAGTGACCAAGTTCCCATACTTTTACAACCAGTCTAGAAGCCACCTGTGGCTATTGAGAACTTGAAATGCAGCTAGTCTGAATTGAGACGGGCTGTCAGTATAAAATATATGCTGTATTTCGCACACTTAGTGTGAAACTAAGAATGTAAAAGATCTCTTTTTATATTGATTACATGTTGACATATTTTGCACATACTCGGTTAAATAAAATGCCTTATTAAGACATATTTTACCTATTTCTTTTTACTCTTTCTAACGTGGCCACCAGAAAAATTTTAATTACATAGGTGGCTTGCTTTTGCAGCTCACATGCTATTTCTCTTGGACAGCTCTGGTCTTACGGGAGCTGAGCTGAAACACATTGGTTTATCGATTCAGCATTTGTTGGAGTCTATTTAAGAGACAGGCTTCAGATAGAATGTTCTTGAGGACTTCAGATAGGATGGGAAAGGGGACAGATACACCAACATAGAACTAACATTCACTGTGATAAATATTTGAGCTGCTGGTCCATGTTCCAGGGCTTGAGGTTGCAAGGGTGGGGGAGGTGGGCTGAGAAGAAATCTAGGAAGGCTTCACAGAAGTGACTTTGGCGTTAAGCATTATAGGATGAGTAGGAGTTTGCCAGACGGATAAGAGGATAAGAGGAAGAGCACTCCAGGCCCCGGGAAATACCCATGCAAAAGCTAAGAGGCTGACAGGTGCACAGGGTATTTGAGGGATTCAGGAATTTCACTGTGGTGTAAACGTGATTGGAGGAAGAGGCTAGAGATGGAGCTGGACTTGGTAGAAACATGAATGCCAGTCAAGTTTCAACCTCGGGGAGGGGCTGAGGCTGGGGAAAGGTTCTCAGGAAGGACGTGGCTGGTCCCAATGTGAGTTCATCTGCCTACCCTCCTCAAAAGCAGAAAAAAGGACCAGACCAGACCTCATTTGAATGTGCAAAGCAAACTCTTTTATTTCCGTGCTCACTCTTTGTGGCTCTAAAGCACATCTACTGCCTGCTTGGAAACCAAAAGTATTTATCAAACCATAGATAATTACTGCAACATTTGTAAGAACATATCGTGTTGGCTTATTTTGTGATCCTTCCCTGTGCAAAGCAGAAAGTTCTACGTGCATCAGCGTGACTTTCTTCAAGTCCCCCGTTGAGATTCTGGGGGCCTTGGAGGCTGTGACCCCGCTCCGGATAGAGCATGCTCCCTCCCTCACCCCTCTTCCAGCCCAGTCACGTGGAAAGAGTGGGGGACCCAGTCAGAGATGACAGCTTGAAGTGTAGTCAGGGCAAGGGCTGTGTTCCTGGGCCCTGGCCCTGCAGAGAGGAGGTGGCTGCGGTGCTAACCTTGTTGGTTAGTGACCAACACAGGCAGCTAACTAAGGCTCTGGTGAAGTCCAGGCATTGCAGTGAGCAGGTGCATGGGTAGGACAGGGGCCTCTGGAGCTCTCTTCCCTAAAACTATGGTCTGAAGGGAGGTGCCTAGGTGCACACGGGGGACCCAGACAGGGCTGGGGGTGGGAAGGTGGTCATAGGTGGGGTTTCACGCTCAGAGGCATCTGCGCCTGTGGCCTTGCTGTCACTTGCGAGGCTGGGTCCTCTAAGGCACTGGAAGAGCAGAGCTGAGAGGGCCTCGCACATGAGCTGAGTCAACCACTCCGTTGCCCAGTGAGGGATGTGAGGGCCAGAGAGGGCAAGGCAGTAGCTGGCTGGACCTGGGGCTCAAACCCAGGGCTTTGACCCCTCCAGTCTCCTCCCCCACCTCATCCCATCCTTTCTGATCAGGTCCCAAATGGCCTCTGTGATATTCTCAGGTTGGGGCTAGTGCCGTGAACAGGGAGCTGGACTCGGAGTCAGAGTTATTTATGTCTGTGAATTACTTTCCTACTACCCAGCCTTGCAGATATCCTGCTGCTGCAGAGGGGCTGCCTCTCCCGCCTCCAAGCCCCAGGGTCTTCATGGGGAAAGCAGCTCCTGTTGTACGATCTCCCCTGGTGACTTCCCTGGTGACTTCGGTGCATCAGTGGCTGTGTGAGCCCTAGCAAGCACAGGAAGTGCCCGGCACATAGTAGGTGCCTCACAGTGGTGGTTGACGGGGGGAGGATTGTTGGGCCAGGGCTGCTGAGATGTGAGGGGAACTTGGGTCTGGCCCTTCCTGGGACCCCACCTGCACCTGCTCTGGTTCTCCCAAGGGTTCCTGGGGCCTGCGTATTGCCTGGGATCTGGTCAATGGGCACACTCTCTCTTTTGCTGGCTCCAAGGGGCTCTGGAGTAAATCAAACAATATGGTGGGTGGTCAGTGGCTTTCCAACGGCCTCTGGGCTGGCAGACCCAGTCAGCCAAGGGCAGTGCTCCCACTGGGGAGGCACAGAATATTCTTCACAGTTAAAGGGAGATGGGGATCCAGGCTCAGGGGCACCAGATAAGCCAGAAGTACATTCCATTCCAAAGAGCCCTCACAGGCTCTGAGGTCGGGGGAGGCTGAGAAGGGGCACATTTGCGCACTAGCTTGGAACAAAAATGGGGGTTAAGTCAGGGGCTCTCTGCTGGCTGAGGTGGGGCTGGGCACGCACCCCTTAGGCGGGACCAATGAGGACATTCCTGAAGCCTTTCACAGCCTTTAGCTTGTCGCTCTCGAAGTTCACCACCAGCTTATGGCGGCCCACGAGGCATGGCAGCAGGTCCACTCTCACTTTGACCTCCTCCCCCGCCTCCACGGGGTCCAGGCTGCGGAGAGAAAGAGCAAGAGGGTGAGGAGAGGGGCCCAGCCTAGTCCCCACGTTGGGGTCAGGCCAGCATGACGTGTGGCTACTGGAGCTTAGCACAGAGCCTCTGAGCGTGCAGAGCTTCCTGCCGATGAGAAGGAAACAGGCGCCACTCACCGCCCTCTAAGAGCCTGGGCAATCTGCCCTCCCACGTGCAGAGGGGCCTGTGTGTGTGTGTGCATGTGTGTGTGTGCACATGTGCGTGAGTGTGTGGAAGTGGATGCTGTGCCTGGGGGGAAAGAGTGGGTATACTCGGGGAACTACACGTGTGAAAATGCAGAGCTGTACACACACCATCCGTGTTACCTACTGTGTGTAAGTCACAGTACAATAAACGAGTAAACACATATGCTTGTGCTTCTGAACGTAAGCATGCTCCACGAGGACACACGCACACATTTGAGGACACTCGTGTTTACATGAGGCCTTGTGTATCCAGAGGCGGGTGCTTAGTGACTAAATGTGTTAACTGTTCAGGTTCGTGAAGACACGTGTGCGGGAAGCAGCTAGTGAGCTAGTGGGGTGCAGGGGTGCTCAGAGACGATGCCAGGGTGGGAACTGTGCCTAAGGGGGTCAGGGAATGGTCTTATGATGGCCAGGTGCGGGTGGGGGTGCGGGCAGGGGTGCAGAGACGAGAGGGGGGAGTCAGGAGCCAGGGTTTGGTGCCTGAGGGCAGCCCCTCGCTCCTTTGCACCCGCCCTGTGCTCCGAGGCCCCCAGGCCGGAGCGCCGGACACTTACACGTCCATGACCTTCTGCTCCTCAGTGAGGCCGGCCCCTTCCATGGTGAAGCTGCAGCCTAACAGGGGCACGGTGAGGGGGTTCCGCAGGGACGCCTCAGCCACCAGCTTGCGGTTCTGCTTGGGCTCTCCCAGGATCTGGGACAACGTACGGAACAGATGTCAGGAGCAGCCCTGAGGCAGAAGAGCCCAGAGCCCCTCCGGGGCAGGCCGGGGCCCTGCTGGGCCATTTCTGTATTTGCTGTGATTTGGCCCAGTGTTGGCCCAGCTCTGGCACAATCACGCCTCACCTCTGTGCCTGTTCCCTCATCTAGAAAATATAGACGTTCGCACACCTGCAGCGGGGCTCCTCAGGACTCGGGGGGGTGGGTGGGTAGAAAGTGCCTCCCTTGTTCTAGGGTCTGGAGTGGAAAGGTCACAGGCTTTGGGACCAGGCTAGTCTGTACCCTTCTCAATGTGTGACCCTGGGAAAGTAAACTACCCACTCTGAGCCTTGGTTTCTTCACAGGAGAGAAATGCCTTATTGCAGGGCTCTCGTGAGGATTAACTGAGCGGAGATGTGCAAGCTCCCAGCAGTGTCTGGCACCCAGGGCTCAATCCCTCCCCCTCTGCTCTTTATCATTTATTTGAAACTGCTGCATTTGGGACTCGGAGGCTGTGGCTCCTCCAAGCAAATTGCTGTGATGCTGATGCTGATGGTGACAAGGTCAGCTACTATGAGCCCTTATGATGCGCTTCCTGCGATGCACGTGTAATTCTTACAACACACCTAGGTGCTAGTATTAACTCCACCTTGCAGACGAATAAACTGAGGCCCAGAGGGGCAAAGTAACCTGCCCAGGGCCACCCACACACAAACCCTGGGAGTCAGACTCCAGAGTCTGCCCTAACTCCTCTGCCTCTCCACTGCCCCCACCAGAGCTCTGGATTCTGAGATCCCTAAATTCCACACCCCTACCCACCACTCTGGGATTCTAGGATTCATTCCTAGAGGTAGGAGTCCCCAGATTCTTTTGGCTTCACGATGTCTTCCTTTGACAAGAGTTAGGATTTGAGGAAGCCTGTGGCTTCAAAGATCTAGAGGCGGCAGGGCTGCTGGTGTGTGGGGGGCCTGTCCTGGGACCCTGCCCCTGCCCCCACACCCTGCCATCCCTTACCCGGATCTTGATTTCTGGATTCTCCAGATAGATGTCCCTCTCGGCCAGCAGGTAGTTGTTGGCAGCTTGTTCCACAAGGAGGCCCCGCACCTTGATGAGGTTCGACTCTGTCAGGCACTCACAGTACTTCTCATAGAGGATTCGAAGGGGGATGCTCTTCTCTGCAGGAGGGGAGACAGAAGTCTTGTGATAGCTGATTCACGGCCCCCACCTGTCCCGTGGCATCTCCGGAGGCACGGAGACAGAAAAGAAGGTGCTTGAGGTCACATAGCTAGTGAACGAATGGGCAAATCCCAGGCCTTTCCCTTATTTGCCCTGCCCTGGGGGGTTCCCAGGGAGGCACTGGGAGGGGAGACAGAACAGAGAAGTGTTAGAACTCCAGTAGGCCGGGGTTCTAATCTTGCCTCTCTGCCCTCTGCTGGCTGATGATGCTGGGCAAGTCACTTCACCTCTCAGGACCTCAACTTCCCTGCATGAAGCTGATGGGATTGTACCCATTTTACAGATGAACAAATACTTCTGCCAGTAAGTGCTCAGATCAGGAGACCTGGCTGAGCTCGGCCACCGACTGGCTGTGTGAGCCTGGGAAGGTGACCTCCCCTCTCTGTTTCCCTTCTATCCCCTGGGACATCGGGCACTGGCTGGGAGGAACTAAGACCAGAGGCCGTTTCAGAGCAAAAGCCACACAGTGATGAGGAGATGAAAAGGGCCGACCTCTCCCACCACAGAGAAGCAAGGTGTGGTTTCTAGCCCCATTTCTCTGACAACACTGAGGCACGAGGGCATGAGGAGTCAGCTTGCAGGAGGCAGGAAAGAGCACTCAAAGAGCAGAGGCCTGAGAATCTGCAGGCTCGTCCACTGAGTGCTCGCCCACTTGGTCACAGAGAACCTTGGGCAAACCCCTTCTGGAAGGCTCCTTGGACCTCCCCTGTCAAACGAGGGTGCTAGAGGGCTGGTCTCGGGGCTCGGTGGAGCCCAGCCCACCTCTCCCTGCAGTCCAAGGGCCTCCATGGGAGACTGCTTTTTTTCCTGCCACCTGTCTCCTCCCTCCTCCACCGGTTCCGGCCACTCACCTGACTTCTCACACATCTGAGGATAACCTCATTATTTGCTCATTTTTTTTCTCTCAGTCCACTCGCTTTATTCTTTTTAACCTTTTTTGCCTATGGATACTTGTCGTCATTTGTGGCAAACCAGTCTCATTTACTATAAATAGAAGGTAACTGGCAAAAACAGATAGAAGCCAAGTCATGCTCGGTCGACTCCGGCTAGGAACTCCTGTCTGCCGAGGGCTCTGGGCTGAGGGGAGGTCGGCGAGGGGTGGGGTGCTGGGCCTGCCAGTGCCGCTGAAGGACGGTGAGGGCCCAGTGGGCAGCCACCTTCTCGCTGCTGGTCAAGGTCCTGGCCCCCCCGCTTGCCCGGAGCCCCAGCAGTTCATCCTCCGGGGTGGACCCACCCCCACCTCTGAGCAGATGACATGGGGGAAGGAAACTCAAACTTCTGCAAAAAAAACAGAAAAGGGTGAAAATCCCAGAGTTAGGGCTCGGTGGAACCGAGTGGAAACTGGACAGCTACGTGGGAAAGAAGGAAAACACTGCTCTCCAGGAGCTTAGAGGACATGACCCCAGCTATTGAATTTTCCAAAAGGCTGAAGCCAAGGCAAGGCCGGACCTTTGAGAACTGTCATCCATGGTCTAGGGACCATGGCCTTGGCCTCAAGCCAGATGATGGCTGAAAGGAGAGGTTGTGTGTAGTCAGTGTCAGTTATTCCTTAGATGACTTGCCCTGTTCTAGAAGGTGCCCTGGGCGTGGCCACATTGGTGCACTCCCAGTGACCCACCTGGAGGGGTGAGGGGCGGGGGCAGGAAGGGGAGGGGAGAGAAACTGCAAGGAGGCAAGGGTGGGGATGGCTCCCTCTCCTAGGCCTGGTTTCCTGTCCATTAGCGCATTCTGGAAATTCCCCATATCTTATCATCAAAGAATAACAAACAAGGCAGCCAAAGTCTAGGGTCTCCGGGGGTGAAAGCGTCTATCTCAGGGCAAGCTAGGCATTGAAGGCCCCAGCCGGGCATCCTGGACCAGCCTCACCCTGAGCCCGGGGGGCAACACACAGGACCTCAGCCCTCCTCTGAGGTCTCCTACAGGCCAGGCCCCTCACGGGTCTCTGAGGCAGGAGGGACCTCTCTGCTGTGGACACATCCCTGGGATGATGGGAAACACTGACGGGCTTTGGCCGAGCCTCCACAGGACAGTGTTGCAAGGGCCCAGATGGTAAATGCGCGGCAAAGTGTGACTCAAGGGGAAGGAAGTTATTCTGGCATCGCTGGCCCAGGCTGGAGTTCACCCCGTGCCACACATTCCAGGAAACACAGTCTCTCCCTGTGAAGCGGTTCTGAACATGAGAAGAACCTGATGGTGTAACAGTCACAGGGAAGGGCTGGCAGGTTCTTCAAACATGAACCAGCCTTCGTACAAGTGGGGAACCCAAGCCCTGGAACGGAGAAGACGAATACCCAGGAGCCCACAGCCCATTGGCAGAATGGTAGGAGCTAGAACTTGCGTGTCCTGGCCACGGCACGCACCTGCAGGGATGAACCTCTGCCCCTGCCCCTCGGGGCCTGGAGGCAGAGGTTGGCAGGGGTTCAGGAGCTACTGAGCTCAGCACCAAGACTGCCATCTTGTCCAGTAGGTGTTCAGGACAGACCCCTGGGGCTTCTCTGTCTTCCCATGGTCAGGCCCCCATTTCATACTTTCCAGATACTTCCTGAGCACACAGTCTCCTTCAGCCCTCCTGGCGGCCCGTCAGGAGGATGTGCTGTCACCCCACTGAATGATGGGTGTGAGTCGAGGCTCCAAGAGCATGTTCACCTCACCCAGGTTTATCCATTTAGAAGGTGGAGGAGGCCAGGGACAAAGCCAGGTCTGGCCGGCCTCAGGACATGTGTTCTAGCAGCCCTAAGTGTTGGGGCCCAGCGCTGGTGCCATTGGCTTTGCCCCCGAGGGCCTCCCCCCCGGCTCAGGGACCCTGCTAGACGGTCTGCTCTGGTGTGAGGCTCCAGGAGTGCCCGTGGTGGGCCCGAGATAGAAAAACCAGGAGATGGCACCGTCCACACCACAGACTCGAGGCTTAACAGGCTCTCTTAGGAACTCCAAGGCTGTGGCCCTCGCACCAGAGGTAATAGGGGAGGGCAGAGGCAGGGGTGATAAGGGGAGGACCCGTGGGTTTGACAGGAGAGAATACAGGGCGGGGGGGGGCAGACTCCACACATGTGGAGCCCTCCTGGCGCTGGGCCCCTCCAGCAGCTCTGCATGGGAGCATGCTGGCTCCACGCATCGAGCACCTACTCGGTGCCCGGCCGCTTCCCCGCACCAGACGGTCCCACCCTGCCGGGTCCTCGTGGCTCCCTCGTGCCCGATGGGGACACTGAAGTTCAGGGAGGCATTTGTCCAGGTCACCCAGCGAGTGGGACCCTCCTCTCTGCGCCCCAGCCATGAAGAATGTTCACGTTGCCCCTCAGAGGATGGTCAGAAGGCTCCACCGCTCCCTGGTGCTCTCCCACCGCCAAGACCCCTTTGCCTCCTCACGCCTGAAGGCCACAAACACACAAACCAGGATCAGGCGGCTGGGGGGCAGGACCCCAGACTCTGTGCTGCCTCACCAAGTGACCTCAGTGGCCACAGCCCTCAGGGCCTCAGGAAGACAATCAGGTGCCGTGAACCAGCCAGGCAGGGAAAGACACCAAGGGGACAGGAGTGCAGGTTTCTGACCAGGAAGCCCTCTTCTCTCTGAGGCTGAGAACCGCCAGAGGAACAGGAGAGGCTCTTGCAGGGGCCTTGCAGGGAGCCAGAGGAGAGGAATTAGCTGGGAGCGGGCAGGAGAGAGTCCAGGAAAGCAGCCTGAGGTCCCATGAAGATGACGTGGACCAAAACAGAATAGTTGCTCAGAGTATGGGTTCAAGTCGCTGTCCTGTCACTTCCTAGCTGTGTGGCCTTGGGAAAGTTCCTTCACCTCTCTGTGCTCAGTCTTCTCATCTGGAAAATGGGGCAACAAAAGAATCTACCTCCCACTTTTCGTTGTAAGAATTAAATGGGTTGCTCATTATAAAGGACTTAGGCAGGGCCTGGCCCAGAGGAAGTGCCACAGAAACATCTGTGAGGTGAACTGCACATGCCAAGCGCCCAGGACACTACCTAGCACATGGTCGGTTGGCAATCAGTAACTGCTCCAGGAACACAAGGCCTTACCGGAAAAGGGCTCCAGGGAAAGATCAAGCAGGTCCTTGGTGCCACACTCGGGCCCCAGGATCCCGTTGTAGCTGACGGTGCGGGCATGGAGCAGGAGGCGGCAGCTGTGGCTCTTGGAGGTGTTGTTGTTGATGTAGGCAAAGACGTCAAAGTCACTGCCCATGCTCATGCTCTCGCTCACGCGGATCCGCATGGCCAACCCGGTCTCCTCCTTTTCAGTCAGCTTGTTCAGGTGGTTGGCCTTTCTGAAGGCTTCTCTCTCCTCTGGGGACCCTGTGAGGATGGGGAAGAGAGTTCCGTTACGGCAGAAATAGGGACCAAGGGTAACGAGGCTGGGGCAGGGCAAGCTGGCTTTTCAGAGCCCCAGTGACTCCGGGCACCTCTACAGGAGCCCCTCCTCTAAAGGAAAACGAAAGAATATTTTATTTACTTTCCACAAGTAAACTCCTATACATCCCTCAAGACCCTCACTCAATGATACCCCCTCCTCCAGGAAGACTTCTCTGATCACTCCAGCCCTAGGAGAAAATGAGTCACAATGTCTTCTGGAGTTTCATGGGTGCCTCTTGCCTATCATGCTTTTTATTTAGCCAAATTGTTTCCTGACTCACTCTTTGGAGCCACTCGAAGACTTAAGACTGTATTTTACTTACCTTTATGTCGTATCCAAAGCCTGGGTGGATAGTAAACACCGATACAAGGCAAACTTTCTCACCTCCCAGCATTTGCTCAGGGATTACTTCTACCTGAAATATTTTTCTTCCTCTTCCCTACCTGTGGAGCTCCCCTCCTTTGTGTCCCATTTATCTCTTGCCTCACCTCCTTTTCGTTTCTTCCCCCGTGCTGCTGGGTACGCCGCTACTTCTCCCATCAAACCATCAGCTCTAGACCTTTCAGAGGCCAGGGGGGGAGCACCTGTTCCTTCCATTGTCTCCCTTCTGGCTAGAGCATGGCCACCTGTTACCCAGGCACCAGCCGGCCCTGGTGAGTCAGTGGGAGTCAGAGAAAGGGGCGGGGGTGATGGTTCCTTAGGCCCCTCTGTGAGCTCCCCCTGTGCTCACAGATGGTTCGAAAACATCTACTGCATTGCACTGTTGGTTGTGCTCAAAAACAATTTAGAAAATAAGCCTTATCCTTTCTTCCCTCTCCTGATTTAACATAAGATGCAAAAAGCAGCTAGCGGCTTCGTCTCTGTATCTGATTGAAGCTACGTGATTAAGCTGCTCTTGCTCTATTTCTCTTCTCCTGCCCCATCCATCTTCGGCTCACCTCCCCAGCTGTGTGTGAAATACTGCACGGATAAACACAACAGGGTTCCTGGAATCTGTCTTCCAGGACTGGCCCCTCTGGACTTCCAAGCCGCTCTAGTCCAAATATGTTGCAATAAAAAAAAGGGGTTGGGGTGGGGTGATGCGGGTGGGATTGCCCATCTTCAGCTGTATTATAGGTGCCGCTAAGACAAATATCCTTAATAAACGACACAGACATCATTCCTTTTTCTGTTCCGATGCACGCCTCTGCTACGGGACTGTCATCCCTTAAGTGGTATTTAGGTCACGCCAGCCAAAAAAGCAAGGTTTAAAAAAAAAAAAACAGTGGAATCCTTCTATGGAATACAGAATTCTTTTCTTAAACAAATACTCCTCTACTACTGCCTCCCAGGATGCTTCTTTTCTAAGAAAAAAAACGGAGAGTAGCCCGCAGCTCCTTATTGCACGCGGGCTGTCAAAGCAAACACACGCACGCCCGCGCGCGCTCCGGAGCCTACCGCGCGGTCTGAGCCGCTGCCTCTCTGCGAGGCGGTGGCCAAGGCTCTGGGCAGCGGGGCACCTACCCTCCGGGTACTTGTAGTTGTGGGTGATGTCCTCCCGCTCATCACGGCCCACGCTCTTAGTGCTGATCTTCATCCCCACGGTCTGGGAGTTGTTGGTGGACTTGCACAAGGACCCATCGTCCTGCTGGATCCAGTTCACCACGTCGGCGTTGACCTCGGCGAAGACAAAAGCCGCGTCGTACTTGGTACTCAGATCACCCTCCTTGATGGCACGCACCGGGACCGGGCCACAGCAGTATGTCCCTGGTTGGGGGTAAGAGGAGAGTCTCGAGTCTGGGCTGAGGGGAGGGTGACCTTCCACATTTCAACCACAATGTAGCAATCTCGGGGACCCATTTCTAGGAAGGCAGCAGAAAGTACAACTTAAGAATGGAGACTCCAGGGGCACCTGGGTGGCTCAGTGGTTGAGCGTCTACCTTTGGCTCAGGGTGTGATCCTGGGGTCCTGGGTTCAAGTCCTGCATTTGCGTCCCCCCGCCACAAGGAGCCTGCTTCTCCCTCTGCCTGTGTCTCTGCCTCTCTCTTTGTGTCTCTCATGACTAAATAATAAAATCTTTAAAAAAAAATGTTTGTAAATAAAAAATAAAATTAGAATCACAGAAAACTACGTGATAGAGAAATGCCAATGACATATGGAGAAGCGACGGGGCCAAGAAACAAAAGGCCACATGCAGCCGGAGATCTTAACACAGGGACCAAAGACCCCCAAAGTGCTGCAAATAAAATTCAGGAGTCCATGTACTTGGATGGAAAAAACATTACATCTTTGTCTTCACTGAAATTTGATAACACATCTTTTGATTGTGAAAGCAGACAAACCCTAGTCTCAGGCGCACTTATGACTTGTCACCCATAAGCCACACAGACATTTATATATCACTTTGGTTGTCATAGATAACTGGAAATGCCGCCTGTATGCATCTGTACCAGTACATTATGGAACTTACTATCTCTACCGCTAGATCTTGTTATGAAAAGCATATGTTATTATGCCATAAATTTATTTTTAAGAAATTTTGATGAACATGTTTCAGTGTAAATAGTTTTCTTCATTACCCTAGGTAATATATTCTCTGCATTTAAAAATATTATTCTGAGAAAGGATCCATTTGGTTTCACCCAGTTTTGCCTTCGTGTTCTGTCTCCCTCCCTCCCTCCAGGTCTCTCTCTCTCTGTCTTTTTCTCCCCTTCTCTCTGTCTCTGTTGCTTTCTCCCTCTCTGTCTCTGTCTCTCCTGCACACACATACAAATATATAATAGGAAATGACTGGAATGGGTGTGAAGGTTAATGTGTGTGAATGTTACTATTTCTTTTGGTGGGGGGAGAGAACGAAGGTGTTATTTGATTTTTTTCTTTGCACTTCTCCATATTTTCTGTTTTCCACAATGTGAATTACTTTTCAAATGATAAAGAAGGGGATCGCACACTGTCGGAGAGGACCCCCACACTTGTGCAGACCTGTCAGTGGTCTCTGGAGCCAGCGGGACTGGGGTTAGAACCCTGGCTCTGCTACCCCCGGCTGAGGCACTGTTGGGGAGTTCTCTCCAAGGCTTGGCTTTTCCGCCTAGGGAAGGGGGCCACGCATACCCACCTTCACTCTTCTCCTGGGGCGTGGGGTCCAGGGCCTGCCACCCCTCATAGCCAGGCTTCAGGTCCGGCCTGCTCATCCATGACTCCACCCAGCAGTGGTAGTTCCTGTTGGAGAAATGAAGCGAGGACTCACACTCAGACTTTCCCTGTCACCTCCCATGGGCAGTCCACACTGGCCTGGCCTGGGCTCAGCCCAGCATGTCCCCAACGCTTTTCCTTGCTCTTCCTCCCCTGGGCCCTTGCCAGCTGCTCACTCCTACCCCGGGAGTCACTGTCAGTGCCTCTCCCACAGCCCCCCACCGTTCAGTGGCTTCTGAGCTGTTCCTTCTTTTCTAGCTCACGGGCTCTGCTCGAGTTCAGGCCTCGTCACGGCCTCCTTGGACCACACCCCAGCCCCTCACCTGCGGTCTCTCCCCTCCTCACCTCCTGCCAGTGTCATCAGTGTCTCTCTCAGTTTGAAGCGTTTGGTGACAACCTGTCACCTGTGGCGTCAAGCCCAGACCCCCTAACCTGGCAATCCAGACTCCCGAAAAATCATTCACCTGATGCTTTTTCATGCATTGTGTGTTGACTTTCCCTCCTTTGCTCATGCTGTGGCTCCTACCTGGAGAGCCCTCCCCGGGCCCTGTTCCCCCTTGTCCAAATACTGTTCAACTTTTAACCCCAGTTCAAAAGTGGCCTCCTCTGAGAAGTCTTCTTAGGTGTCCCTTCCAGGAGACCCTCCCCAGTGGGCCCCAGCTCACCAGATCATCTCGCTTTTATCCTTCTGGATCTCCCCAAACTTGTTGTAGACATACTCGATAAGCAGGTTGCTGTTCTGGTCATGCGCCGAGTTAAAGTTGGTCACCACTCGGGTGGGGATGCCGAGGCACCGCAGCACTGGGGGTTGGGGAGAGGACAGGATGGAGAGAGGGATTAGATGATGAGGATCTGGAGACATCTGCCCTGCTCTGGGCATCCACCTGCCCACCTGTATCCAGGGCAGCACTGTACCCATTACATCATCCAGGTAAGGGGATGGTGCCCACCTCACTGGTCACTCCATGTCCACTCTGCCTCCTCATATCACAGCTAAAAAAGAAGACCCCCAAAATGCAAGACTGACATCAATGCTCCTCTGCTAAACCTTCCATGGCTCCTGGTGGCCCTTGGGGTCAAGGACTGACCTCTGGCTATGGCCGTTGGCCTCACAGTATTTGGCTCCAGACCATCTCCTGGGCACTTTGCTCCAGCCACACCCGCTGGTCTTCCAGCACTCTACACTCCTGCCAGCCACAGGCCATTGGCATATGCTATTCCCTCAGCCTGGAAGGTCATAGCAAGAGTGGGGATTCATCATTATGCTCAATGTAGGGGCACATGAGGGATCCTTTAATTTGTCCTCCAAGGGCAATGAGGGATCTGCCTTCCTTTATATGCCCAGAGCCCAGCACAGGCCTGGCATAGACTAATTTGTCAAATGGATGAAGGGGTGGATGACGTAGAGAGAAGGGGAGGAAGAAGGGGATGAAGGAAGGAGAGAAAGAATGGTAGAGATTCAGGACAAGGAGCCAACAGTGGAACATGCAGAAAAGGGAACAAGGGTCGGGGGCTTCCATGCAAGCCCTGGCAGCTTTGGCCTGTGGGCTCTGGGACTGGCCCCTCACCCCCTCTGGGCCTTGTTTCCTCCTCCACCACACAAGGTCGTGGTACACGTGGGGCCGGCAGTCGTGCTGGGGCACCCCCGTGAACGTGGAGGGCCCTGCGCTCACGCCAGAGCACAGCTTACAGGGGTCACAGTGACAGAGGAAAACGAGGCAGGACAGCAGCTGGCGCCTACAGACCTCCGGGGAGGGAGGGAAGCCCTGGGCACGATCTGGGCCTGAATAGCGGGGTGCTCCTGACAGGTGGCATTGGGGTACTTTTTCACTCCCCTTTTTAATGTGCTTTTTGAGTGTTTTGTGAAAGTAACACATTCTCAGGGTGTGATAAAGGAAATAAATATCTTGTTTCAAAAGTGAGAAGAGCCCTGCTGAATGTGACCTGTGGGACTTTTGTCTTTTAGTTTTGATTGAGATTAAGTCTTGGGGAAGGCGGGTGGAGAGAGAGAGAGAGAGAGAGTGTGTGTGTGTGTGTGTGTGTGTGTGTGTGTGTGTAGCCTTTGCCCTGGATTCTGGCCAGGAGACAGGAGGGCTCCTGAGAGCGGGGAGGAGGGACAGGGTTGGTCCTCCACTCCTGCTTGGTTGCTTCCCTGTGGCGCACGCAGTAGACTGTCTGCCGCCTGCAGCAGGGGCTGGTGTCCTGGACCAGGCCTTGCCCCAGGACATGACAGGCCTCAGCAAACAGACCGGGTGTGGGAAGGCCTGTCCCTGCTGCCCAAGGACCAAGACATCACCCCTGTCCTAGAGATGGTGCCCCCAGAGGCCTCATCATCATAGGCTGAGGCCAGGATGCTGCCCCAGAACCGGAGACACCTGATTTCAAGCCTGGCTGTGCTGTTCCCCAGCTATATGACCTTGGGCAACCACTTCCCCTCTCTGAGCCTCCATTTCCTCCTCTAAGAGGAGCTAATAATAGTAGTTTGGGGGGAATGTGGTGGTGATTCAGAGAGGCAGTGGGGTGTAGGCAGTCTGGTCTACCCCGTGCCCAGGGAGGAAGTGCAAAGAGTGGCGTGTGCCTGCCACTGCAGACATCTCTGCAGTCACCGCTGGCTGACTCTTGGACATTCCAAAAAATGCTCCAGGATCCAGCTGAGGAATCCCAGCTTCCCCTGGGAACCCGCAAACGCAAGCCTAACTTGAAGCAGAGACTGCCAAGTGACATCTCCCTGCGTCCTGAGAGAGCCCTGTGAATTAGGTCAGTCATCAATGGCCACTTACAGATGAGGATACAGGTTTGGAGACCCCAGTTCTCTCGCCCAAGTCCACGCAGGGGCTGGCGACAGAGCTGGGACTAAAACCAGGCAGCCGGACACCAGAGTCCCTGGACCAGTCCAGCATGCGGCAACTTGGAGAAGCCCCGGGGGCCTGCTCCCCTGAGCCAGTTTTCCCTGGCTCTCTCACACACCGGGCTGGGAGAAGGCTGCAAGGGACCCAGACTCAGCCCTGGCCTTGGGGAGAGAGCGGTCTGGAGCAGGACCTCCAGAGGTCACAGCCCCAGGAGGAGGGAGGCTGCAGGCGGGCTTGGGGACCCAGGCCGCAGATGGTGGTGTGTTTCCAGAAAACCCATGGGGTTCTCTGAGAAGGGCATTTCAGACCCCTCAGTGGAAGGGGTCTGGGGAAGTTTGCACAAGAAAAGGGAATGCATGGGTCCCAGAAGTGGGCAGTCATGGGTGGTCTGGCCATGGCGAAGGGGGAGCAGAGACAGCCCAGCTGGGAGCCCGGGCCGCACCACCCTATGCAGACTGCTGGTGTGGAGGACAGCCCTGGGACGCCCCGACACCCTTCTCTGGGCCTGGGCCCTGGTCGTGGAGTCAGAGAAGCTTCAAACCAGGACCAGCCTCTTAGATTTCCTGAGCCTAATAAATAATAACAGCAGTAGTCATAATCGTAATAAGAATAATCTAGCAGCATGAAACAAGTATTTGCTGTTGGGCGTCTGAAATCATTTCCAGCACTTCCCGCATTATCCTCACAACCGCTCCAGGATACACCGTCACTACATCGGGTTCAGTGTAACGGAGCTGAGGCTCGGAGAAGCCCAGTGATTACCCGAGGACTCAGCTGGTAAGAAGCAGAGCTGGGATTGGGATTCGGGCCTCGACCCCAGAGTCTATGTTTTTAACTGGTACGGGATACAGACCCATTCTCATAAGCACCATCACCAACCTGGAACAATCTTCAACATTATCTGAACTCGAATTTTTTTAAGACTCTATAAATACTTATTTTACATTTTGGTTCTAAATTGCTTTCTCTTTCCTCATCTGCATTTTAGAAAGTGTTTTCTCTTTCTTGAGGTCGATATGGCTGTTATTATTGAGTTGCTACTAAGAGCTGCTATTTACTTAGAGCCACACTGGGCTAAATTGTGGGCCGAGCAGCTTTCTATCAACCCGTCCTAGGAGGGAGATCCGATTGCCCCCTTTTTACAGACAAGGAAACCAAGGTTCAGAAGGAAGTCATTTGCTCAAGGTCACAGAGCAGGTGAGTGTTACTGGGGATTTTTAATTCAGGTGAGCCCGGCTCCAAAGCTCATCTTCTCAACCCTGTGCCCAGGCTGCCCCCCCAGTGATGTCCCTCGATCCTAATAACCACCTGCAGGGTAATTGTTGGAAAAAGGACCAGAGAGGGACAGCTGCCAACTCCAGGCCACGTAGTACATTGGTGGCATTGGAGGCAGAGGCAGGACCAGAGCTGAGGGCTCCTGATTCCCACTTGAGTGCTCTTCCTGCCCTCCTCATAGGGCTCAGGGAGGCTGTGAGCAGGTTCCAGGTCCTCCCCACGTCCAGCATGAGCTCACCTGTGCAGGCCACAGCAGCAAAGACCCAGCACTGGCCATACTTGACTTGCTGGCAGCCAGAGGTCTTCCAGCGCCGCAGAATGTCCACGCTGCCGATCCAGAACATGGGGCTAATGCCATCCTTATAATTGTTGTCCCAGCGTCCCATCAGCACACCCTGGTCATCATTGCAGTTGACCTACAAGCAGAGGGACATCAGAGGGGCCCAGCCTGGGGAGCAGGTGCTGTGAGCTCAGTGCATGGTGAAAGGCAGGGAAAAGAATTTAGGAGAGGGAACAGCCCATGCAAAGATCCCAAGGTGTGACAGACTGGTATGTGGGAGATGGTTGGGGCTGGAGTCCAGGGTGTGGGAGAGAGAAGGGGAAGGGAGGAGGTGAAGAGGGGTCAAGGTCGTGAAGGTGATGCCGGAGATGTGAATTGGTCCTGTGGGGTGGCAGGAGAGTGACAGAATGTGATCGGAGTTTTACCAAGACTCACTCTGGCCCCTGACCACATCGTGTTGTTCCCCTCAAACTCCCATTGCCTTGAGAATTAAATCCAGCCTCCCGACGGTGGCCGATGAGGCCTGCGGGATCTAACCTGTGCCCACCTCCTGCACCCCACTTCCCCTCGTTCACTCCACTCCAGCCACGCCAGCCTCCTTTCTGCTCCTCAAACCTGCCAACTTCCTTCCTTCCTCAGGGCCTTTGCACAACCTACTCCCCTCCCTGGAATGCTCTTCTCCTATTTACTCTATCAGCATAGGGATCATCACTTAGGGAGGTCCCCGCCTCCTGCCCCGCCCCTGACTAAAGTTAGACAGATAGACACCCTCACACCTCCAGCTTCCTTCAGCACTTGCATCAATCATCATCTCTGTGACTCACGCACGCACGTGGTATCTCAGTTCATGTCAGTCTCCTCCCACCCACCCACGAGAATACAAGCTCTCTGAAGTTAGAGACCATACACATCTTATACCCAGCTGTATCCCCAGTGCCTAGGACACGTGGCATCTGATAAATATTTGCTGAATGAGTGAATGAATGGATGAATTGCTTTTAGGGACCACATGACATTACCCTTATTTCTGTAAATCTTGTCTTTCCAAATACAAGCTGTCTTAGCTGAGACTCCTTCATCCCCTGGGTCCCCCCACTAAGCCCAGTGAGGAGTGCAGCCTCCATCATCCCAGGAAGAGGGGAGCCTATGGGGGCCCATCATGGGCCCAGCCACTCACTTACCATGGCACTCACCACCCGGCCCACATAGATAGGATTGCTGCGGCTGGAGCAGTCACGGCAGGCATCCTTCAGGAACTTGGGGTTCCTGTCCAGGAGCATCAAGCAGATGTCCAGGATTCCATCTTCAAACTGTGTTGGTAGAAACAAGAGAAGGATGAGGGAAATTAGAAGTCACCTCCCCCAGGAAGCCTGCCCTGAAGCCCTGCAGCTGTAGGTCCTCCCTGTTGTGGGTCTGCCACATTTCTGTGATGCCAGCTTTGTCTGGCCCAGGATGGGGTGGGATGGGACAGATGACTGAGTCTGTGAGAAAGAGGAAGGGATATACCTGCATTCAGGGCCAGCTGGGGGCTGGGGGTCCTGGGAATCTGGAGTAGAACCCACAGTGTCCCTGGGGCTTCCCTCTCCTCAGAGTCACCTCAGGCCCTTCCACTGCCCCTTTCACTCCCACCTCTCTCTGCCAGTTATCTCATTTCCCCTAAGGCCTGACTCATCCTACACAGCTGATGAGAATCCTCTCCTCCCTCACCCCCCACCCTGACACACTGCTCTGATGGGAACTGAGGGAAATTATATATATCGCTCCTCTCTTTCCACTGCACCCAGATTAAAATCTAGACTTTTCCCTGTGACCTGCAAGGCCTTTCACAATCTGTGTCCCACCTCATTTCTGACCTCATTATCATTTCTGACCTCATTATCACCACTCATTGCCACAGGGCCTTTGCACTTACTCTTTCCTTTTCTTGGAATGCTCTTCCTACCACTCTCTGTATGACTCATACCTTCTCATCCTTGCAACTCAAATGTTAGCATTATCGAAAGTAGAACCCTCACTCCTTGTCATATTACGCTGGACCACCCGTCTGACAAGTTCAAAGGTGATCCATTCCCTGCTCCCCACCTCTGTGGTCTTGTCCCAAACCAGGCTTCATCACAAGTCTCCCTCCATGGCTTTAAGTCCTTTTGTGGCTCCCTCTTCCCATCAGCCTGAGGTTCACAACCCGGACACTGCTGATCTCTCTCGGGACTCCTTCAGACGTCAAGTGCTCCCATTGCCACCTCTGAACTTTTGCTCATGCAATTCCCTTTGCCCAGTATACTGTGCTTCCATCTCCTCCATAGCCCAGCTCAGATCTTGCCTATTTCTGGAATCACCCTGATTCTCATCAGGAGTTTTTCATTTCCTTCCTCTAGGTCTTATCATCCTGGATTGTGATGGCTTCCGGAAGATTTGCAAGGGCCGGAAGATTTGCAAGGGCCGTAAGATTTGCAAGGGCCGTGTCCAATGGCCAACACAAGCCTGGACACAGAATAGGAACTCAGGAAATAAAAGAAAGAATCTGGCTTTGTTCCATTTCTCAGGAGAATACAGAGCCTCAGAATTAGGAGCCAATGTACATTGTGATATATTTTAGGTATCATGCTCATTTCATGTATATCTCACAGCAGGCTACAGGTTCTTGGGCGGATATTTTTGCAATTAGTATACTCAATATTCAGATGTGGAAAGTGAGGTCAGAGCCCCACATCATACAGGGAAGACTTCCCTGTGGTCCCAGGGCAGGACTCTGGAGGCCTGACTATGGAAACCTTAACCCAGGGGCTATTGGGAAAAGTCTCCAGGTGAACCCCACCCCAGACGGCCAATAACCCCCAACACACCAGGAGGTGGAAGGACCAGGAGTGTGACAACTCTTGCTTTATGAGTTTTTGCAGCAGTGTCTCAAGAATATTCGCAGGAGCCTGAATGGCAGAGGAAATAAGATCCTGAATTTGAACCACCAGCCTGGGCTGACTTGCTGGAAGATGAGGAGCCACAGGGAACAGAGAGGAGCCATCTAGCTGAGGTAGCCATGCCCTGGCTGCCCCGTAGATTTGTAAGAAATAATAAATGGCTGTCATTTTAAGCCTATAAGTTTCAGGCTTGTTTGTTATTCAGCAGTAGCTAACTGATACAACCAGTGATTTGCAATGTATGACCCCTGATCAGCAGCATGTGAACCTGTAAGAAATGCAAATTCTCAGCCCACACCCAGACCTACTGAAGTAGAAACTAGGGGTGACACTCAGTGATCTGTGTTTTAGCATACTTTTCTGGTTGAGTCTGACATATATTTGAGTTTGAGAACCATTGATCTAGATAATGGTATAAAACCTCCTCTCAGCACACACTTAGCACTTGGTTAGCAGTTCTATTATTTTGATGCATGGCCTTGCATATTCCCCTTCTCCCTCCTGGAGCACCCGCTAACACCACAATTCCCCAAAGCTCTCCTAATTCTTTCCCCATTTAGAATCTGGGGCTGCCATTCCCATGATGGGCAGGGTGACCCTTTCTTGTATAACCTCGGGCTTCGCCTGGACCCTCTGTGTTCCTCCAGCCATTTTGGGGCCCTTGAATCCCTGGAAGCATTGGGTGGGCAGCTCTGAGACCAGTTCACACCTCTGCAGCTTTGACCACCTCAGAGCCAGGGCCCAGCACACAGTATGGGCCTGCAGTGGTTGGGAAGGGCAGGATGTGGTCTTACCTGCCCAAAGTTCCAAGGGATGCTTTTGATGAACTTGACTGAACCCTGGTAGATGAAGCCCTGCTGGCTGAGCACGTACTCCCGCCGTTCCTCATCTGAGTCCAGGTACACAGCATCCGCTGGGGGTGGGAGGGAAGGGGCCTCAGCTCTGGGTCTGGTAAGGCGCAGGGTCCCCACAGACTTGGCAGCCAAGGTGCCAAAACCCAGGGCCAGGCTGGAGTCTCAGAGGCCCTTCTATCTTTGAATCAGAAAAGCTAATTATTAATTAATAATCCTATATCCATGAGATAAGGTGTTTTCAGCTAGAATTACCAGTAGCTGCCATTCCTCCAACACTTGTCTATGGTAAGTGTCTGATGTATATTAACATCTACCCTCTGCAAGAGCTTTATGAGAAAGGGACCTTGAAAGCTCCATTTTACAGGCAGGAAAACCGATGCCAATGCAAGAGATAGAGGAGCACTCAGCGAGGAGTCAGGAATCTCCTAGCTGATGCTCACTTATTGTGGGACCCGGGAGAGATCACCTCTCCACCCTCCTCACTGGAGTTCCTGAGGGTAACATGGGATGCAGATTTGAAAGGTGCTTTGCAAGTTAAGCCCTGAGCCAGTGTGAGAAGGAATTTGATTCAAGGCAGAGAGAAAGCCTACTAGGGTCACTGTGTCTCAGGGGAAGTGGGATCTTGTCCAGCTTGGGGTGGGAGGGGCAGGTGGTCAGGGAGGGCTCCCTGGAGTAGGTGGCTGGTGAATGCTGTCTTAATAAACGACTAAAATTTAGATCCTTGGAGTCTGGTGGGATGACATTCTAAGCAGAGGACCAGAGAGCACAAAGGGACAGCTGCTAGTATGGCACTTAGTTCCCCATGGCTGATGACCACAGAAAAGAGGGCTGGGGCAGTCGGGGCCAGATGGTGGGAGGTCAAAGGTCAAGCTGGCCTTTACCATCCCCATTTCACAGGTGAAGAAACTGAGGCTGGGAAGAGGACATCTAGAGCCACATTATGACTTTGGTGGGCCCTGTGCATTTTTTGTTCCAAATAAATAAATAAATAAATAAATATTTAATACTATTTAATATGCTTATATATAAGTAAATATATATACTATATTGGTATAATGGCAAATATATTAATATTACATATTAAAACATATTCTCTGACCTAAACTTTCATTTTTTCTTCTGATTTTAAAAGAAATCAAAACATTTTTACAGGTCCCTAAAAATACTGTGCCACTGGCCTGGAATGCAGCTGCTCCAGCCCCTTGGGGCCCTGGACTCTGTCGGCCCTGCGCTCTCTCAGGCCCCATCTGCAGCCCCCACAGGCAAATGTGAAAGTGGCCAAACAACTTTTGTCTTATTCATCCTGTGCTGGGGCTCTGAGGACCACAAGAAAAATTAGCCTTCTGGCAAATGAACTCTGTAGTAATAAGTCAGCTGACAGGGTGGAAGAAAGAACGAAAGAGAAAGGGAAACTCATGGTGTTTCGTCATGGGGCTGAGAGCGTTGTCCCACCCGGACCCAGGTGTCAGGGACCGTGCCCTCCTCCCAGCTCTTCCGGTCAAAGTGGGGGCCTTGGGGACCAGAGGTCCCACACATAATTGGCACTCGCTCCCGTCCTCCTTCCTGTCCTTACTGAGCTCAGAGATAGAAGGATCTCGTTTCAGGGGCAGGTCCCAAAGGGACAGCAGAGTTCCCACCCAACACCCCCACCTCCACCGAGGAAGGCCAGCTTCCTGCCTCCACAGGGCCAGCTCCACCACCCCTTCCACGCTCCCACCCTGAGATGTCGGGTCACTTTAGTCACTGTGCTGCTTGGCTGACAGCCACGCCAACCCGCAGGGTGAGGATGGGGCAGGGCTGGAGGAAAGGCCAGAGGAAGGGGCTATCCCCAGAACTTCACTCCCTGTTCCCTGAACTCCGAAACCCTGCAGTGTGGGTGAATGGGGGGCCACCGGCATCTTCCTGCTGCCAGGAGGGCTGCCATGGGCCTGGCTGCCAACTCTCTGTAAGCTCTGCAGATTGACAAAATCAAAACAAGTCTACAGTCCGGCAAGGCCGCTTCTGTCCTGAGCAACCATTCCATGTGGCCCCAGGGCATGTGAACAGGGTGCTCCATGCCATACCCTTCCTGGGAGGATCCACTGGGGCCCACCTCATGTCCCTGGGTGGAGTCCTGATCAATGAACTGTCTACACTGGTAAGATACGGGGCTCTTAAAAAGAAGGCGGGGGTGGGGGGGGCTTGGGGGGCTCAGTCAGTTAAGCAGTTAAGTGTCTGCCTTTGGTTCAGGTCATGATCCTAGGGTTCCGGGATCATTGGCTGTTGGGCTTCCTGCTCAGCAGGGATCCTGCTTCTCCTGCTCCCTCTGCTCTTCCCCCACCCTGCTCATGGGCACACACTCTCTCTCGGATAAATAAAAATCTTTAAAAAGAATGAATGAATGAACAAACAGATGTGTATGTACACCAGTGTGGAAAGATCCCCAGGATGTATGGTAGAGGGAAAAGTGAAATAAGTTGTGGGTTGATGGATACTGTGCGATCCTTTTATGGTTAAGAAGGACAGAGAAACCCATTACTGCGGCAATGTCTCCAGGCACATCAAATCTAAGGAGATGAGTCCCCTAAGACAGCTAATAATGCTGTTCCCCAAGGAGGAGAGTCAAAGTGGGGGCTGTTTCCCTGCAGCACTTAAAGCTTATATAAAGAGGACATCCTCATGTCTTACTGTTATAATTAAAAATAAAAGCCAAAATATGTGGAAGAGAAAATAAAAAAATCTTTAACCTCAACTATGTTATAAAATGCCCCAAAATGGAGAAGAAAAAAACAAAGCAGCAGCCCAGCAAGAAGCTGGCTCTCTGATGCTTGGAGAGGCCAGAATTTGTGGCTGGGCCTGGGCTTCAAGGAGGGACACCCCATTCTTAGGCTGGGGCCCACCCACAAGGCCTATCTCTCTGCCTCGCTGTGCAGGAGCAGGAAGGAAACTGTGAACACAAGACACCTCCATGCCCAGGTCAGAACGCTAGGGGAACACGCGGGCTCCGGGACATGGGGTGAGATGCCTTGGGAGCTGTGGGGCCTTGGGCACATCATTTTGCTTCCAAGTGCCTGTCTCTTCCTGTGTCAGGGGAGTAAGAAGAGTACTCACATTACAGGGCTTTTGTGGGATGGGAGCGTGGTCCTACATGGAGGGGAGCTTCACTCCATCCGCTTTGTTGTCTCTTGTGCCCCATTCCCTGCCACCCTCGGTGCCCCATGGCTGGTGTAGCCCTGTCCCCGCCCCTGCCCCCCCCCCCCCCCGGTGGATCGTTAGGCTCACCTGGGCACCAGCTGTTGAAGAGCAGAGTGAAGTGGCCCAGCACGAAGCTGGAGCCCTGGTAGCCGGTGGAGGCCTCCAGGCTGAGGCGGTACAGGCCGACCGGGGCGTTAGGCGGGGTGCTGAGCTGCAGCGAGAGGACACTGTCCTGCTGGTTCATCACCACGGCCGTCCAGGCACCCTCCTCCACACCACTGGACAGGGAGAAGCGGGCCTTGGTCCCGGCCTCCTTCCTGGGGTCTGGGCCTGACAGACAAAAGGCAGTGGCTGTGAGCCCACCGTGGCCAGCGGGGAGGGAGCCAGGCTGGCAGGGGCCAGGCCCATGCAGGGGGTCCCAGGGGCCCAGCTCTGACGCCTAGTCCTGCTGCGGACCGTTGAGGGAACTTTTGGCAAGAGGTTTCATCTCCCGGAGACTTGGTTTCCTCATCTAGAAAGTGGGGATCGGACCCCAACCTTGCAGGGTCCTTCTGTGAGAAGGTGTGAAAAGCCCCAGGCACACAGCAGGTTCCCAAGCAGACGGATTTCTCCTGGGAGAGGGGACAGCTCAGCCTGGGGCAGGGTCTCAGTCACAAGCCCGTCCCCTTCTCTGGGCTCAGTGTGCCTACCTGTGGCACGAACAGGAATCCTTGGGGAGCATCCCCACCTGGGTCCTTTATGGGCTAGGGTGCAGCTTTCCCTTTCAAAAGCTCAGACTCAAAAAAAAAAAATAAAAATAAAAATAAAAATAAAAATAAAAAAACAAAAGCTCAGACTCTGAGCAAGATAGGACCTTGGTCCTCCTCTGATGTCTCCATGGGAGCCTGTCTGAGAGGCCCCTCTCTGTCGGGTGCTGGCTTGTCTCCCCAGTGTCCCCTCTGGCTTTTGACCTCCGTGTCTCCATGGGAAGCTCCAAGGAGGAGTCATGACCACCCCTCTACCCCCACCCCACAGCCTTTTACACTTCATTAAGTGCCTTGGCACTTCCTGCTGCCCCTGAGACCCCCTGCATAGGTAAGAAAACGGAGTCTCAGAGAGAGGAGGGTCTCCCAAGGATATCCCAGGGCAAAGTTAGCATCTGAGCCCAGGTCTCTAGACTCTGGGCTGTCCTCCACAGTGCTTCTCACGCCCATGCTCCTTCGAAGGGCTCTTGAAGGCCCAGTGAGACAGGGAGCTTGCCTTCAGCTCCTCTGCTTTTTCTGGTGGGGGGAAGGCCCTGCCCGTGCAGGCAGGTCTGAGTCATGGGAGGGCAAGGAGGGGCTGGTCATCCACTTTGGACTTGGGTGGCTGAGAGGAGAAACAGAACCTTCTCTGCCTGGTTGGGCAACTGCCCAGGAAAGTTTATTTTTATTCTTCAATCTCCCTCCCTGTAGCTCTGCCCACCTGCTGCTGACAATATGGGGGCCTGTGCACTGAGGGGTTCCCTCCCTGCACCCCACCCCCTCCTCTCAACCCTCCAGCCCCACCCACACCCAGGCCCAAATATAACCCTGAACTAACAGGCATGACACAGGCTTCCAGGGCCCTGTCTGGGTGCCAGGAGTCGGCTGTAAGCCTTTAAATGCTCCTGGCAGCTGGGTAGCACTGGGCCCCCAAGAGCCGGCTGGGGTCTGGTTCCCCTACTCAGAGTGCTGTGTAACCTGGGCTAAGTCACCAGGCCTCTCTGATTGGCAATTTTCTCATCAAAAAAGAAAATAGGCTTAGAACTCATGTCTGGGAAGGTCTGATTCTCGGTCTGAAGCTGGCTCTGTGACCCTGGACAAGCTATTTTGCATCCCTGTGCCTCAGCTTCCTCATCTATAAAATGGGCTTAGTTACAGGCAATTACAAATACCTCCTCTTAAGGTCACTGTAAAGCTTAAAGAGATAGCAGTACATTGCATGGTGCCTGGCACCCAGTAAGTGTTCAATAAATGATAGCTATTGTTTGTTATCGTCCCTCCCACAACCTAGCACAGTTTAGAGGACCTGCAGAGACTTCATAGAAAGCATTCTAGATAATGACTAGCATGGTAATCATGCAGGGTACGTGAGCATTCCTCCGTGGCACCAAAAGTTGCTATTAAAAGTCAGAATCCTCAGGCCAAACGACAGATTTTGAGGACTGGAATGAAATGTAGAAATAAACTCATTCAACTGAATCACTTTACAGATAGGGAAACTGAGTCCGAAAGGGACCAAGTCAGGGCGACCACATGGCCCAATTTGCCTGGGACAGTCCAAGTTCACAGCTGTGGCCCTGGCATAATTCTCGATGGTGCTCTTTCATTCTCCGAAAAGCCCGTTTGGACAATCGATGATCTGGTCACCACGGTAAGAGCCTGGGCCAGGGCCCACGGCCACTGTCACTGTCAACATACCACCGTCAAGCACAGATCAGGAAACACATTTCCCTTTCTCCCCATCCTGGGGCAACTGTGCACACATGCACACCCCTTTCTTCTAAAGGGCCCTGGGCAAGGGGTGGGGGGATGAGGACAGGCTGTCCCCCTTGTCCCACCACTATGCCTGTAAGCTGGCTTCGAATACTCACTGGCTGCCATGCCACATGGTATTCTTTGTGGGGCCGGAGATGCTTCAGGGACCTCTCTGGGCCTAAATGACCTGGAGAGTGAGGAGTCCTGGGGACTCTCCTAGACCGACCGTGGCTGGTGGAGGTTGGGAAGTGAGAGTGGATGAGGGGAACCTTCCAGAGGAAAGCCATCTTATAAACCTCATAAAAGTTCTTTCCATTTCTTCAGGCTGACCTCACTCCCACCCCACTCACCCTCCCAACCCTAGCCCCCTCCCTCATTCCCATAATAGGAATGGTGTTTGTCTATTGTGGTCTGTACCCCATAACAGAGCCTGTCAGGTCTCCCAAGTATCTGGGCGAAACACACAGCCCCTCGGAGTGTGCAGGGTCAGGCCACATACTCTGCTCGCTGAGTGACCTTCCCTAGCTCTCTCTCCTCTCTGGGCCTCGGTTTCTCAAAAGAGGTAGGCCAGGCTGATCCCAAGCTAGAATGTTCCAGCATAAGAGCAGGGTGCCCAGGCTAGGCCTGGGGCTGGGTGCTAATTGCAGCCAGGCTTTGAGGTAAAAGGTCTGGCTTCCTGGTATTGTCCCTCAGGCTTTCCCAGCCCATCGGAGTTCTTGGTAACTCAGACAGGGAAGTTGTGTGCCTGCAGAGATAGAGTGCCTTCTGAGACTGCCTGCCAGGGCTGCGGAGGTGATCAGGGCAGATTGGCTAGGGCTTGAGATAAGTTGGTGGACACTGGAGAACAGAGATTAGTTGCTGGGTTGGGAAGAGCAGCTGTCCCTATCCCAACCCTGAACCTAAGGCCTAATTACCTGGCACCAGCCTGCCTAGATGAAGGGAAGAGAAGAAAGAAAGGGGCTGCCTTGAGAGTGGGGGAAGAGAAAGAAGGTGGGAAGTCACAGGTAGCCCCCACCAGCAGCTCCTCTACTGTTCCCTTTCATAGAGGACTGTCAGCCCACAGCAAGGCCAGGGGCGGAATCCTGCTTTGTCCCTCACTCACTGTGTGACCTGGGCAAGTAAACTGACCTTTCTGAGCCTCAGTATTTTCATCAGTAAAACAGGGTCTCATTATGCTTCCAGAGACGGGAGGATTTAGGACGAGCATGCATATGGTGGGTGCTCTACAGCTGCTGTGATTCTCCTCATCCCAAGCCTGGCTCTTCTCAGGGTATCCTGTTATGCATTACAACCTTCCACTTTACAGAAAAAGAAACTGAGGCTAGAAAGATCAGAAGTTCCTGGAGGCTCCTTAGGTCAGTTAAAAAAGGCGCCAAAGGTGCTGGTTGTGTGTCAGAGGGGGCACCCCTGGATAGTGGGTGTATCCCGCCAGAAGGGGAAGGGGAGGGAGGAAAGGCCTGGGGTGGATATCCAGGGCCAGTCTGCAGGCGCATTGATAAGCCTTATCACAGGGCTGCCAGGTAAATTCGGGCCTCAGCCTGTTTGCTGCTCTCTGTGCCCTCATAGGTCTCAGAAAGAACTGGCCTTTCTAACCCTTGAGCAGAGTCCCAGCCAGGCAGCCCCTAGCTGACCTCAAGGGAGTGGTTCCCTCTAGAAGCCAAATCCAGAGATTTGGCATTCAAGGCCCCTTTCCCTGGAGTGGCAATTCAAGAAGACTGGGCATGGGGCATCTGTGGATGGGGTGGCTGGGGCCTCAATGTCCCTTTACCCATGCCTGGACCCCCTGGAGCAAGAGCAGCAACAGCTGCTAATGACTACAAGGCCCTCCCGCCATGGCAAGCCCTTCCCCCCTAACAACCCTCCACCACGAGTGCTTTGCATAGCATAAAACTCAAGCTCGGAGAGGCTTAGCAACTTGCCCAACGTCACACAGCAAGTAGGCAGTTCAGTCTGCACCAGGGCCCAGGTCTGTCTGTCAGCTCCCCAGCCTGAGGCAGCCCCCTGAGGCTTGGAGAAGGAACTATGGGAATATGAAATGCTCCCCTCAGAGAGACGGAGCCAACTGGGTTCCCCACCTGGACCCGATGGGGTTGGTCCGGCTCTGTGGATTTGGGGAAGTAGCTGTTGGAAAGCTGTTTTGATGTGGGGAAGAGCGGGCAGGATCTGGATGGACCTTTGTGGTAGGCAGCTGAGCCCCATCCCTTGGTGATAACAGGTTTTCGGAACCCGGGTGTGCAGCCCTCTTGTTTATGAGGCTGCGTGGCCCCGGGCATCATCCCTCCGGTCTCTGGACCTCAGCTCCCTCATTCCTTAAATGGGGCTGCTGGCTGCTAGGAAGTCCTTGGGGGGCAGAGGAACGGAGCCACGTGCCCCACTGTCAGGGGCCGGGAATCCCAGAACAGAGCAGGTCAGGCCGGGCGAGGGGCTGTGGAGCTACTCACCCGTCACGGCGCTGAAGGTGAGGCTGTCCACACTGGACTCATAGCTGCGGCCGGTGAAGTGCAGGGTCAGCCAGAAGGGCTGGCCCCGCCGCACCACCAGCCTCTGCTGGCACAGGCCGGCCGTGTGGTGGTCACGGCCATTGGCTTCCAGCTCCAGGTCACATTTCTCGAGAACCAGATCTACGGAGACAGTGGGAGCAGCGTGAGCCACAGTGGGTGGCCTCCGTCAGCCGGTTGTGATGCCAGGACTCCCGGGACGTGGGGACCCCCAGGGCCATCGGGGAGCCAGCCCTCTCTAGAGAATGGCTACCAGCCTGCCCCCTCCCCATCTCCCAGCCCGCCCTGTCTCCCTGGGACTAGCCAGGCCACACGTCCCCAACTCTTGACCATAACCAGGTCACAAGGTCATGCCCACTGGGGCGTGTTGGGAGAGGTCTCTGCCACCTTCCAGCTATGTGATCTCGGGCAAGTCCACTTTCTGGGCATCACTTTGCTCCCTTGTCCACAGGACCCTCATGAACCACTGGGTATACGGTACCTGGCACGTCACACATGCTTACTTCAACGTGAGCTAATCTGGTATTACTGAAGGATTCTTTTGGCAAAAATGAGGTGGGGAACAGTATTTGGCATAGGTTATTTGCACGGGCTCTGCCTTTTAGGTTCAATTTTCAATTTACCGGCAATAGGGAGTGAGGAACGTGTTCAGCAGAGCGCTGGGACGCAATCGACAGAAAGAGACACTCTGGGAGACAACTGGCGGAGGGGCCGGTTTCCTTAACAAATAAATTGCGTGGAGAAAAACAGAGTCGAAGGGAGAAACTATAGTTTAAGAGAAACTAAAGAGACATTTGGGCTTACTGTGCTGTGCAAGCCTCCTCTGGATCCTTAATTTTTTTTTTAAGATTTTATTTATTTATTCAAGAGAGACACAGAGAGGGGGGAGAGAGAGAGAGAGAGAGAGAGAGAGAGAGAGAGAGAGACAGGGACACAGGCAGAGGGAGAAGCAGGCTCCATGCAGGGAGCCCGACGCAAGACTCGATCCCGGAGCCCCAGGATCACGCCCCCAGCAGAAAGCGGTGCTAAACCACTGAGCCACCCGGGCTGCCCTGGATCCTGATTTTTAAAAAACTATTCTAAACTTCTCTCTACTTTGATCTATGTTCAGCATTCTCCATAAAAAAAGGTTTTTAAAATGACGGGGGGTTGGGCGTCTTCTGGACCTACATTTTGATCCTGCTGTGCTGCTGTGTGATCCTGGGCAGGTCTCTCTCCCTCTCTGGGCCTCCTCTGAAGTCTCAAAAGGCCACTGTGAGGACTAGGAGGGGAGGTTGTGCACCCTTTCCCCAAGGCCTGGCCCAGGGCACAAGTCGGGCATGTGAAAGCTCTGTTTATAGTTTCAGAGGGAACTGAAGACCAGGGTGGAGGCCGCGGTGGTAGTGGAGGTCTGAGGGAAGCGCAAACCTCATAAATCTTGACCAGCTCAAGGTCACGATTAGGAAGAGTTGTGGGTTCTTTGGAGAGTGTGTGGTCCAGCGGAGGCCAGGGGCACGGTTTGCCCACAGTCACCCAGCAACTGGGTCCTTCCACTGGGGCATCGACCCGGGTCCCTTGCCTTCTGCCAAGGAATATCCCAGAGCATCCAGTGACTGCTGAGGGAGGGCTCTGACATGGCTCATCTCCACTCACACCTCACAGCCACTCTGCCCACACAGGTACAAGCACCCCTCCACGGCGCAGAGGGAGGTCCCACGGCAAGCGGAGGCCTCGGGATTTGAATGCAGGGCTGTAGGTTGGGGATCCTGCACTTGGAAACCACCTCATTCACAGCTCAGGGTTCGTCCTCCATCCCCCCACTCCTTCCTTCCCCTCCTTCCACCCCTGTGTTGTTCAGATGTGGGACCTCCCCCGCCTCCAGGGAAAACTTCCTGCTGCCCTGCTGGGGTGGGGAAACACTGTTTCTGGAAACTTCTATCCCAGGAAGTTTAAGCAGGAAAGAGACCACCATTGTCTCTTGGGAGACCAGACAGAGATGGTCAGTTCCTGGGCTGGGGCAGGTGGGGTGATTTCTTGGGCGATTGTCTGAAGAAGGATTTCCAGAAATCACACCCAGCTCCAAAGGTACAGAAAACACTGAGCAATAAGATCACAGGATTTCTGCACTGAGAAAGGACCCGAGGTCTTCCAGGCCAGTGGGACCCCTGTAGGAAGTAGCCACCGCGGTAAGAGGGCACATAGCTTATCACAACAGGCACCTCCAGGGTCTCCCGGCCCCATGGAGTCTCTCTTGGGGACAGGGATGGGAAAATGCAGTGCAGACAAGTGGCCACCTAGGTCACCCATTACGGCCAGCACTGAGCTGGTTTTCAATCCCATATGTTGGGGAGCAGATCCCAGAGAGGGACAGAGGGGACTCAAGGTCATACAGCAGGTCAGGCAGGTCCTGGTTCCTCCCTCCCTTCCCTTCTCCATTGCCCCCCCCACGTCCCTCCTCACATTCCTTCTCCCCCCTCCGGCACCTCCTTCCAGGGACCGCCGTGTGCAGAGACCATCTTCAAATGGACTTGACCCAAGAGTTAGCCACCCCACAGGGGCCAGCAGCATTAGTGCACTGACAACCTCCACTGCAGAAATCCCTCCCTGCCCCTGTGTGTGTGTGTGTGTGTGTGTGTGCGCGCGCGCGCATGTGCATGTGCGTGTAGGGGGGCGGGGAGCAGGTAAGAAACTAATCACGCCCCTTCTCCACTCCTCAAGGCTCTCACAGATATATCAAGAGCTGGCAGTGCCATCCATTTTACAGGAGGGAAAATTGAGAATCAACAAGTGGCCAAAGACCAGAGTTGCAGAACCGGAGGGCTGGAGGGACCTTAGAGAGCAGGTCTGCCTTCAGCCCAGGTCCCCATCAGGTGCTGGAACCTCTTCTCTGGCCACCGGGGCCAAGGAGTCGGCCAGGCATCGCTTGCACACCACTACGGAGGACGTGCACACCTCCTCCCAGCTGGCAGGAGCTAACCAAAGCCAAGTGTTCTGAGGCCAGGCCAGACCCCTCCACATAGCTTTGTGCCGCCGGGCACGCAGCAAGGACCCAGCCTCACTCACTGAGGACAAGAGACAGCGATTCAGTGGCCCAGTACTTTACAGTTCACAACACACCTTCATGTTGCCTCGTCTGATCCAGGGAGGCAGGGGTTAATGATCCTGCCCTGGGGATGGGGAAAGTAAGGGCCCAAGCTGGGCCAGGACTGGGACCCAGGCGCTTCTCACACAGCCCTGCCTTCCCGTCACTCCCAAACTGGGGACTTAGGGACTGAGCCCCCCCCCGCCCCCCCGCCAGGTGTTTATCACTCCCCTCCCATGGCAGAGGCAGGACCACTGAGACTGGGGAGGAATGGCCAGGTGCAGGGCACCCCAGTGGTGGCAGCGCTGACCCTCATACTCACCCTCGGCCATGGTCAGGTGGTGGTGGTGGCTCCTCTGCCTGGTGGCTGGACCCTGCAAGTGCGACCACTGTCGGGCGAGCACTGGCAAGCCTGGGAGAGATGTGAACTTATAGCCCTTGTTGGGCGGGCAGGGGGCGGGGCCGCCGCCGAAGGCGGGGACCTGGTGGGGCCACCTTTGCCCAGGCTGGGCCCAAGCTCTCGGCTGCCCCGCTCCGCCAGTTAGGGTGCCCCCAGGGGCAGGAGCCCGAGGGAGGGAGGGAGCAGTGGATGGGCAAGGGCGCCCCCTGGGGGAGTGGATAGAGCAGCAAGGGGACAGCGAGATGCAATTAGACCGGGACACACAGGCACACCTGGACACATAATCAGACCTCAGGTAATAGAGACACTTAGGCACAGAGATGTACACACGCAGGTACAGACACAGAGTTGCAGCAGGACACAGCTTACCTGGATACACAGACATGGATCAAACCCAGATCCAGAAGACACACGTGTGTGTACACACACACATTCACTCAAATATATAGATATTTGAGTGAACATCTCAGATATTCATATATAGATATAGAGGGACACAGACACACAATCAGAGGCATTGGGATGTAGACACTCAGTGGCACAGACACACCCCAGCAGATACAACAGACAAACCCCGACACACGGACACTGTGACATGAACGCAAAATCAGATTAGAATCAGACACACACACACACACACACACACGCAATCAGAGACACATGCCAGGACATTGATACAGCCAGATACACATGGCTGGGTCCCCATCCAGAGCCACCCACAGATAAGCAGGTGTCCAGGTGCACCCAGCTCACAGACAGACCTCACAGACACTGACACATCATCACCAGGTGTGGACACAGAAGCAGAACGGGGCACCCGTAGACACACGAGCCTGCACATACTCAGAGGGACCCACACGCAGACGCGGACTCAGGTGCAGACGTGCAGACAGGCCCACGAAGACAGGTACACCCACACCTCTTCCGGTAGCCAAGCTATGATCTGACACTCCCATCCACCCCTCAGCCCCCCCTCAACATCCATGCACCCATTGGGCCACTTACGCCTCTCACCACCCGTCCTCCCCCTCCCCCCCACTTCATTGAGCTTCCTTGCAGATCCACCATGTGTCAGAAGGGACCAAAGCCAAACTTCCAGGGACTCAGCCTCTGGCCCCTGGACCCCAGCACCCTAGCTGTGTGTCTCTAGCTCCCCAGCCTTCTGTGCTTCTTACCTGCCATGAGACCTGAGCAGGGAGGGTCCCTGGAGAGACTGGGGCCTGGCTGCCTCCCCCAGTTGTTGTCTTTTTTCTAGAACAAATTCCTTATCTACCGTTGGATCTCGACTACCAAACTGGCCTTTGTTTCATTCCTGTGTGGCACAGTGCAAGGAATAAACCCATGTTCCTTTAGTGGATGTTTGTCCCTGGGCCCAGTGGGCTCTGCCCGGGGTCTCAGTGAGCAAACCCATAACCCAGGGCTGACCCATAAAATATAACCCTGTGAGGGAACCTTGTAATTGCCCCCATTTTATAGATATGCAGATGTTGTTACAAAAACTCTTTCCTGCAACTGGTAAGAGATCAGAGGGAGAAGCAAGGTGAGTGGGTGTCAGTCAAGAAAACTTTTTTTTTTAAATATTTTACTTATTTATTCATGAGACACACACACACACACACACAGAGAGAGAGAGAGAGAGAGAGAGGCAGAGACACAGGCAGAGGGAGAAGCAGGCTCCATGCAGGGAGCCCGACGTGGGACTCAATCCCGGGACTCCAGGATCATGCCCTGGGCCAAAGGCAGGCACCAAACCACTGAGCCACCAGGGATCCCCAAGAAACCCAGTTTTGAGTCCCACTCTGACCCAGAACAGTTGTGTGGCCACGGACAGGGATTTGGGCTCTCTGAGCCTCAGTTTCCCCTCTGTAAAATGGGGACCTGGAGTAAGACTCCACCCAAATGACTGAGGTTGAACAGCTAGTAGATAAGGAGCACTTGACAACTGGAGTCCCTGAGTTTGGGAACAAAAATGCCTGTGTCCCAAAACCTGGCCAGGAGGAACAGGTGAGCTCAAAGAGAAACAGGAGGCCCGAGCACAGTCAGGCTTTGCAAAAGAAGCTCTGCAGGCTGCATTTTTCTACAATCCTGCCCTTCCCTGTCCCAATCGAAAGGGTAGATTTTGCTTTTGTCTGCTATTTTCTGTTTGGAAATGGGTTTTTCTTCACTTGGGACTAATTTCCCTTTGTTGCTTCTGGGAGCTCCCTGGAGGACAGGAACCCACTTGAGTCTTTTCAGAATACCCCTCAGGCTGTTACTGGTAAGGGGCTTGGCACAGAGCCCTGGGCCTGTCCCTGACCCAAATAGCTGCCTCTTCTTCCTTCCTCTCCCCTTTCCAGAGAACTGTGGCCACCTGAGTGATGCAGTGACTTGAGCAATCAAGGGACAGTTGGGGTCAGTTGGTTTCCAGGAAATGGCAGGCAGGGGCCAGAGCCCAAGCTGGGCCTAAACACGTGAATTCCAGGCCTGGTGACCAGGGGGCCCCTTGCCCCACTCTAGGCTTCAGTTTTCCTGTTTGTTCAGAGGGGCTGGGAAACCCTGCCTTGTTTTCCCTTATTGGACAAGTAAGTATTCAAAACTCCACTTTACTAAAGGAAAAACAGAGGCCCAGAGCAGGTGATAATGGGCTCAAGGTCTTCAAAGAGTATAGGCAGGGCTCTTCATCATCCTCTGCGGGAGAAGTGCCATGCAATGGTCAGATGGGGAGCACCTGAGATCACTCTTGGCTGTGTGTGACTCTGGGCAATTACTAGACTTCTCTGAGGCTTGGTTTCCTCCTCTACAAAATGGGTATAACAAGGAGCCCCACCTCTGGGGATCAGAGATAAAGTCTGTTCAGTACTAGGCACAATGGCAAGTGCCCAATAAATGTTACCTAAGGTTTTTTTTTAATGATGATACCATCAAGAATCAGGACTCCCCTTCTTTCATAAAAGGGATAGTCTTATGTGTAAGTAAAGCAGGTTGCAGGCAATGTAGAACATTCAGGGTAGAGGTGCTCAAACTCCCCACAGTCTAGGTAAGTCTTGTAGCCAGGGTCACTGACAGATGCCTAAACCCCACTATTAAAGAGATCATTCCTTCGCCTCCCTAAGGATCTCCAAGCCTCAAGGTAGAGACAAAGATGAAGTTTGAGAACTTTTGAATAGCCCCTGACCAGTCCGCTGTGGCATTTAAACCTCACAGTATGGTCTTCATCATTTGTTAAATAAGGAAACTGATGCTCAGAGCAGGGAAGTGATTTGCCCAGGGTCACACAGTCAGGAAGTGGGGGCTTGGAACTCGGGCTTGATTCAAAAGCCTGTGCTGGCTCTTCCATGGTTCAGAGGGCTGTCCTATTCCACATGGCCCCCCTGGGGTGGGGCCTCAGGGGCCTGGGTCATGTTCAGTCCTACAGTCCTTGGCAAGTGAGGCCTCCGAGGGCAGGGGTCCATGCTTCTGAGCCATGGTGCCTGGTGTAGGTTCAATAAATGTTTATGGCATGAGAGAAGGAGGGTTGAGTCAGAGAGAGTTGAAGGAAGAATGGTTGACTATCACCTTATATGTTTATTGATATTTCTGTTTTCTGTGATTGCCCATTTTTCTGCTGATCATTCAGCAGAAAAAATTCAGAATGTAGAAGAGTTTAGAGATTTTCCTATTCAAAAGTTTATGACTGATTTCTTTGAAGCTTTGGAAAGAAGGAAGGAAAGAAAGAAAAGAATAAGCTTCAGAGAGTTTGGGTAAACTGCCTGAGATCACACATCACAGCGGGGCTCCTAGGCCCTGGTTGGACTCAGCCATTTCCCCAAGGACAAGGGATCCCCAGGCCAGAGATGGCCCTGGAGGGCTGAGCTGGAAAGAGAGGGAGGGCAGGGCAGTAGTGGGTGGGACCATGATAGGGCATTTGAAGGCCTCAATTTTTCTACCAACTGATGACTAATGACAGATGAGCAGTGTCTGGCATGAGGGAGCCCAGGGGAGAGCAGGGCCAGACTCCCCTGAGGTGGAATGGGGTGAGGTAGCGGTATTAGGACAGGGGACTTACGAAAATGTCAAGGCACAGGCGTGACCTTTCAACTGGTGGCCTGTCTAGGGCTGGGATCTAGGTGGCCTGGGGATGGGGAGCAGAGAACAGAGTGCCCGACTGGGAAGGGCCCTCCCAGTGTGTCCATTTTACAGGTGGAAGCACTGACCCAGACATCTTGTCTGTAGCTCTGCCCTCACAATGCCTCTTAGCTCTGTGACTGTGGCCACTTTGGTTCCCCTTGGTGGGGCTCCAGTTTCAGTTTCTGTGAAAGCAGGAATCACAGGCCAGAACTCACAGGACTGCCGTGATGATGAGGGGAGCCGTGGGGCCAAAAGGAGCCTTCTGAGGAGCTGTCTGTACGGCCCCTCCCTGCTGAAATACCTCGGGGCCAAGTCAAGCTCTTTGCCTGGCTTTCGGAGGACAGATCTGGCCCAACATACCCTCCAATCTCATCACGCATATCTGCACCCTCCAGCCTCACCAGGCACACCACTGGCCCCAGACACACCCCGAGGTTATCTGCCTCTGGGTCTTTGCTCGAGCCACACCCTTTGCCTGGGACGCCCTCCCGCCTTGATCTCTCGGAAGTTTCACCCAAGCTCTATGCCCTTCCCAGAAGCCACCTCCTCCCAGAGTCCATCCACACCAGGACTTCCTTTCCCCACCGGCAGGGCACTGTCACAGCCCGCCGTGAATAAGGACCAGTATATGCATCTGTCTCCCTCCACCCACCTGCTCAATAAATGTTTGTTGAGTGAGTAAGTGACCTGTGGTAGTGAGAGAGAATGAGAGAGAGAGAGGAAGAGAGAGACTCGCTCAAGCCTGAGCTAACTCCAGAGTCTTGACTGGCAGGATGTATGGTGCCAGTTGCCCATGGCAGGACCAGGAGAGCCAGGGTGTGGTGCTGGGGCCTCTCTCAATTCTTGTTGTGTCCACCAGAAATGAGATGTTTGGGCCCAACTTACATCTCCTCCAATCCCAGGAGTAGAAAGACCCCTTGCTGAG